TCCGTCGAAATTGTTTATAACCATACAGCGGCTATAACGACGAAAACAAATTTCAGCCGATTTATTAATGTGACTTTTAGGAACCTATTTTTCAGGTGTATTTTAACAGTCCATATCCTCCTTTTCCTTTTTTCCCGCACGTTAACTACAGTAACCAGAAGGTGAATACTGGGAACAAAGTTCTAAAAGCTCTGACACGCACCCATGGGTAAAATTGCTTATAACTAAAAACCGGCTATAACTACAAAATCCAAAAGTCCTGAACAAAGCTCAGCCCATTTTTTACTGTGGCTTATAGGGACATATTAGCAGTCGTTCTACGCTAATTTTACTGTATAAGGAAACCTCTACAGTGACATAAAGAGCTATCGGTATGCATTGCCAGCGTGAACATGCTACTTTGAAAGCATCACAATAAAATCCAATCCGAATTGCAATAGGTCTATGCAAAAAAAAGTGGATCATGAAGAAATCAGAATGTTGTCCGTTAAACAAGAAAATGTGCTGTTGACTGAACAGTTCCTACCGGCATCTTATCTGCTATCCCAACTATCACTAAGTGATAACAGATCCACCTCCCTGACATATTCGTCAGAACTTTCAGGTCATTCAAGAAATCTTTGCAGTGAACGTCAACAGACCGTCGATAGCGAAACGCCTTCGAACCACGAAAACGGCTACAGATGCAATATAGTGCCAAACAACCTACTTCAGTAATTTGGGATAGTGAGAGGCTTCTTCTTAGATGCATTCCTTTATGGTACAACAAAAGGCCGCGCATAGCAATTGACTACACCATATTAAATATCCTACTCCCGCTCATCTGCTACAACAACATATATTTTAAAAATAAAATAACCTCTAAAAGTCTGTTGAAACATATTGTCAAGATATAGTGGAGAATAGGTTAGGAGATATTTTAAAAAGCACACAAGACCAAATTTCCTGGCTATACTTTTAAGGCAGAAAACCAACTATATGCTGAAGTCCTTTATGAAGACCTTAATGAATAGTATGCCTCCAAGTTCTGACGGTTGTCTATATTATATTTAAAAATATGTTCATTACTTTAAGGCCTTTGGGAATTCTTTTCAAGGAGTTGTAAGTAGTTAAGAAAATTAAAGCATACTTTTAGACATTCGACAAAATTAATAATAACATTTTCTAACGAACCTTTGATTTTGGATATCTTTCATAGAAATATAAAACTACAGGTCAATATTTACAGAAGATCTTTACAGGACTTTCGAAGGATATGAAACCATCTAGAGCTATTCTAGAGACTATAAAGAAATGCCTTCTGAGACCTTCGAAGGAGATTAAGGTAATAGACAACAATTTACACCTGTTGAGGCAGAAAGTCAATTACATACTGAAAACCTTCGGGAAGGAAATCTTCTATGGATAGTAGACCTTCAAAAGGTACTTAAAATATCTTTATAAAAGATTTCTAGAGATAATATACCTGTTTCATTTAGGAAATAAAATGAGTTTACAGAGACTTTTTATAATAAAAATATATAGGCTTTCACAGACCATCTATAGGCAGAGGTTTTAAAAAAATTAAAACATTAAACGACGAGTTCACAACTTATTCTATAAGAAGAAATCATTTCAGATCGACATCGGTAGAATATGGGCCTTCCATCGGCAAAAACATGTTAGAATAGAAATTCGTTTATAAATAAAAGAGGTATTTCAAAGATTTTTTCTAGATTTGCTGGGGATATATGAATATTTGAACGCTTTTTTAAACTGCATTTGAGGTGTTTATTTGACGGCTTTCTTTAGATAGAAGGTGTTCAAGGGGTTAATAATCTTTTGGAAGGCCATTGAGGATCTCTTTACAAAATAATAATAATAATAATTTTAAACTCTTCTAAAGACAGATCTATTTTATAAGACTTTTATAGTTAGAATACTCCTTCCCCTCCTTTAAACTGTAAACCATATTATAAACTATAAACTTTCATCCATATATGAATAAACTTATAAAGGCTGCTATATACAGTGTAAGGTTGTAGGGAGTCACATTTGTGAAGAACTTATATTTATATAATAAATATGCCTTCCATATTAGAAGATTTTCGATCACGACAACGTAAAATAGAAGAGACCACTTCTTAAGACAGAATACATTCCAAAAATGTAGAATATTAAATAAACCTGTTTCAAATTATTAACATCATTAAAATGTTCATTTATATAAAATATTTTTTTCTTCCTATCGTTCTTCTAAAATTTAAGAAATTTAATCGAAGTACTTCTTAATATTTATAACGATTTACTTTTCGTTCCCTATACTTATATTGCAGATAAAAACCTACCACAGTTCTTCCAAAGATCTATATTTCTAAGGGTCCTTATCACCTAAGTTGTATTTAATTTTCATACAATAAATAAAAATAAATAAAACATCTTCCAATACTTACCCCTGTAATACACACAAACGCGCCTGGGCATCTTTGTTATCGTATTCCTTGGATAGCACCACATTGGAAAGGCTCAATGGCATCTCTTCGACAGCTTTAACTTGCAAATGTTTCATACCGTTGATAAGTTGTAGCATTATGAAGGCCACCTCACGGGTCATGACATCATCAAATGCTGGCATGCCATTGATGGCTGTATTTTGTTCCTGCTGCTGTTCGGGTAATTTCAAACTTAAATCTCCACTGCCAGCAATTTCTTCATTGAGAGTACTGAGATTTTGTACCGACATGCCATTTCTCATGTTGTTGTTCGCATTGTTGTTAAGCGCACCTACATCTTTCAATATTGTCAGATTAGGTATCGAACCACGGAAATTGAAATTGCTCTTATCCAAAACATGTGATTTACCCTTTAGTATGGCTCCAATCGATTGCAAGGTGTCCAGCTGCAGACGTGGCAACACCGATATGGTAGCCTGTAACAATGTCATTTCTGTTGTTGGCATTAATGGCAAATGATAGCTGGGTACAACATCACAAAATTCTGTAATGGGATTTAGTGCACCCGATACACCACCGGAAAGTTGACTTAATTCTCCACCAATGCCGGCTAATTGATTGCAATCGGCTGAGAGGGCCAATGTTACGGGTGCTGTTGTCCACAGTGCGGCATGGAATGCTTTTTTGCCCACAACAAATGCTTGAGCTCCTTCGAGGATGGTGAAATCTTCAAAACGCAAGTTTATGGCATTGGCAAGTGGCCGCAGGGCTGGCGGTATAATGGGGGTTTGTTGGAGCTGCAAAGAAATAAATTGGAGATGTTTGTTATGAAGGATATGTTACATAAAGGAATTAAAATTAAAGCAAGTCGATACAATTTAGTACAACTATAGAAGACAAACAAGGAGGTCATGAGAAGTTCTTCCAACCCAGAAAAGCTGATATAAGGTTAAGGACTATACGACCTTATGTCAGCCTTTAAGAATTTGTTCATCCACCATCAGGCATATTTTTTAAAGAATATTTTTCATACACCATCAGACCTAAAGGCGTGGGTTTTTAAAGAATATTTTTTTAAGCATCATCAGGCCTAAAGGCGTGGATTTCTTAAAGAATATTCTTAAAACACCATCAGGCCCAAAGGCGTTGATTTTTTAAAGAATATTTTTTCAAGCATCATCAGGCCTAAAGGCGTGGATTTTTTAAAGAATATTTTTTCAAGCATCATCAGGCCTAAAGGCGTGGATTTCTTAAAGAATATTCTTCAAACACTATCAGGCCCAAAGGCGTTGATTTTTTAAAGAGTATGTTTGAAGCATTATCAGGCCTAAAGGCGTGGATTTTTTAAAGAGTATTTTGAAGCACTATCAGGCCTAAAGGCGTGGATTTTTAAAGATATTTTTGAAGCACTATCAGTCCTAAAGGTGTAGATTTTTAAAGAGTGTTTTTGAAGCACTATTAGGCCTAAAGGCGTGGATTTTTTAAAGAGTATTTTTCAAGCACCATCAGGATTAAAGGCGTGGATTTTTTAAAGAGTATTTTTCAAGCACCATCAGGCCTAAAGGCGTGGATTTTTTAAAGAGTATTTTTCAAGCACCATTAGGCCTAAAGGCGTGGATTTTTTAATGAATATTTTTCAAGCACCATCAGGCCTAAAGTCGAGGATTTTTACGGAATATTTTTGAAGCATCATCAGGCCTAAAGGCGAGGATTTTTTACGGAATATTTTTGAAGCATCATCAGGCCTAAAGGCGAGGATTTTTTACGGAATATTTTTGAAGCATCATCAGGCCTAAAGGCGAGGATTTTTTACGGAATATTTTTGAAGCACCATCAGTGCCCTAAGCTCTTCCCTATTTTTTTCTTTTGGTAGAACGCCTCTTACCTGTTCCAAAACTTGTGCCAAGGCTTCATGATTGGCTCCCACAACAGCTGAGTAATTATCCTCGATGGTTTTGTGGACGACACTGCGTCCCTTGCGCATGCGTAGGCGATTTGTGGCTTTTACTCGGGTCTTCATGGCCTACAAAGAGAAAAATACATTAATATTTCGGATTCTAACAAAAAATCCTCTCTCCCAAACTTACCGATGGTACACCCCACACACTGTCATTAATATCAGCAGTAATGTCACCACCCGCTTCACTGCCATAATAACTGTAGGGTGAATATATATCCAAATCACCCATTTCACTGCCGCAATACGAAGCCGAAATCATGCGTGGAATGTTCGCTAAAGAATAAGGAAAAAATAGAGACGAAAAAGCGAAAAAGTAAACATCATGAAAACCATTATCCTTTAAAAAAATCACAAATCTCCTCTACTCACCCAAACTATTGTTGAGGCCATAAGTCCTAACAGGTCCATATTCACTGCGTGTATAACTGGCCACAGAGATGGTGTCCAATTGTAGATTCTCTCTACGTCGTGCCTGCATGAGCCTCTGTGAGGCCTGCAAATCAGCCGATCTGGCTGGTGGTGGTGGCGGCGATGATGGTGTCTTAACCATTTCATACATATTCTCATAGTCCCTCTTATCCTTTAGGTAATTATCAATGGTACTGTTGATCTTGCGCACCGTATCCTTAAGGCTATTGGTGCGACTGTCCGATTTAATCGAACAAGTATCGGACGCATTGCTGGCGTTCTGGTTGTTGTTGCTGTTGTTGTTCGTTTGTGCGTTTGTTTCAAATATTTCCAATTTATTGGACATTGTTGGTTTCGCTTCATTTTTCTTACGTTCAAAGGTACTGGTACGACTGCCACTATTATTTGTTGTCGACGATTTACCTTCCTGACGTGAGGCATTGATGCCACCCAATTGTGGACTTTGTATATTTTTAATGGCATGTTGCTTGTTGTTGTTAGAATTTGTAGTTGTTGCATTGTTAGAACCATTGGGATTTGTGGAATGTTGTTGATCCGCAGATACATTTTCACCATTTGACGAGCAAATTGAGAGAGTATCGACGTTTTCCTTGCTGTTGTTTCCATTCGACTGTTGATTAATTCCAATATGACGTTTACGTGCCAATTCCAATTGTGCCTCACGTTCACGCATACTGGCCGTACGTTCTGGTTTACGTGGTGCGATTGATGAACGAATTTCGCCTGGAATGAAATAGATTGGGAAAGGAAGAATTAGAAAGTTATAAATAATTTGGGACAATAACATTTTTTAAAAATATTTTAAGGGCCAATACAGGTGTGGACTTTTTAAGGAATATTTTTAAGGCCGAAGTTATTCTACATCAGTCTTATTTACGCCCATGCTCTCACCGAAGACAAAGATGAGCAGACCAAAGACATATTTTATGAGTGCCTAGAAAAAGCATATGATCGCTGCCCTGGCCATGACATTAAAAATCTGCTATTAGGTTTTAATGCAAAAATCGGAAGAAACTGCAAAAGACATGGTAATTGACAGCACCAGATTCAAGCATCTCGATATACATCGCATAAAAAGTGCTATGCAGTGTGCTGTGTGAACGATTGAAGCCAATGGTCAATGGTATTATTGGACCATACCAATGCGGCTTCAGACCTGTCAAATCCACCATTGACCAGATTTTCACTCTGCGCTAAATCATAGAAAAGACCCACACATCGACAGTGATGTTTAAAGCTACGTTCGGCATTCCTGCAAAATTAATACGGCTATGCAGGATAACTTTAAGTGACACAAGGTCAGCAGTTAAAGTCGCAAAAGACCTATCGGATCCCTCCAATATCGATCGAGGATTCAGACAAGGTGACAGTTTGTCGTGTGATCTTTTTAACATCCTGCTGGAAAAGGTCATACGAGACGCAAAGGTGAACAGAAATAACACTCCGTACACCAAACAACACATGTTACTCGCCTACGCCGATGTCATCGACATAATGGGTCGAACATTGAGAGTGGTAACATCCACCTTTGAACAAATAGAGATGGAGTCTGCCAAAGTAGGTCTGGCAGTAAACGGCGAGAATCAACGCGCAAAACGTCTAGTAGACTCGGACCAACTGTGGAACTTGAGAACTACAGCTTCGAGGTAGTTAAAGATTTTATATACCTTTGTACCGCCATAAATAAAACGAATGACATAAGTTTTGAAATTCGGAGAAGGATTGTGATGGCCAAAAGATGCTACTATGATCTAAGTAAGCAGTTTAGAAACGAGGCCACCTCCCGCCAGACGAAACACACACACTACAAGATGTTGGTACTAGCCGTGCTATTATATTATTCTGAATCATGGGTACTTACGAAAGCAGACGAGGTAGCTCTTGGAGTGTTTGAGAGAAAAATTCTACGAAAGATCTACGTTGACGGTGAATATCGGCGTCAAATGAACCACGAGCTTTACAATTTATACGCGGACGACTACGATGGCTAGGCCATGTTCTGCGAATGAATGAGGCATATAAAAGCGAAGGCATATAAAAGCGAGCCTACTGATGGTTCCCGTAGAAGGGGAAGGCCACGAATCAGATGGAAAGACCAAGTAGAAAACAACATCTTGGAACGTGGTCTTTCAATTTGGAGGAGATGTGCACAAGACCGACGCGCTTGGAAATCGTTTTTAAGCTCGGCTTATGGAAAAACAGGCATGGCTTTTTTTAAAATATTTTTCAAGGAATTTATTGGGGTGGAATTTTTTTGGAACTATTTTTCAAAGACTAAAACAGCTAAGGATTTTAAGGCTATTTATTCTTCTATTAATAGCAACTATTCTAGTTTTATATTTGTTTTTAGTTCTGATTTCAAATTTAAAGTATTTCAAAAATATGTCATACAATAACGATCTCATGACAAATGTTTGTCACAATAAAATTTTAATTAATAGTTCTCATAAACTAGAATACAATAATTTCAATACATATTATTCTTTTTTTTACTCAGTAAGCCGTCTATTTCTGGGCAGCAGCATAATTGTTACCGTTATGTTCCATTTCGATCGATATCATTAATCATTATTAAATCCTATATGCTGTTTGAAGACAATTTTCTATAATTAATCATGATTTGATGTTGTAGAAAGAATTCATAGATATGTCTATGTGTGTATGACTGCCAGAGACAGCCAATTCTAATTCCTCTTGTCTATGGGATGTATTCATATATTTACATATATACCACATCTACCTACCCACAAATATATACACACATAAATTGGGTATGGTTAATAACATTTCTCCAGACTACCAAAGCTAACCAGCCAACCAATTGGCAAAGATGTAAAAGCGGACACTTAAAGATTCTAACCCAAATCACGTCGTCGTGAATGTGGCTTGAGCATTTTTTTGCAAAAATGGCAACCACGCAAACATTCACACACACACACACCCAAATATACAGATAACAAAAATATACCAAAACAAGATACGACCTTCAAGAATATGTGACGAAGTTTACCCATTAACCTCAATAACGTGTGGTAAACCGGCAAATAAGAAGAGTTGTGGTAATCGCCAAAGAATCTCGCAACTTAACGTTATTATCCCCAACCCAAAAAAATATACACCTTTTTTCCAACCGAAAGAAGAAGAAAAAAAAGTAGAAAAAACGAACTCACACAACAACTTGTCAATAAATTCGTAAAAAGAAAGATGGGCGTTAAAGAGGGTTTGCTCTGGGTGGAAAGAAGGAATCTAAATACCATACCCAATAAAATTTTTAGTTAAGGCCAAAGACTTTGGTCAACTTGAAATACATTATCCTGCAGATGATGTGGATGTGTGTGTATGTACATGGATGAATGGATTGCTGGTCATTATGCCAATATTAATTGGTTTTGATCATCGTAATTATTATCATCATAAAAAGTTTACCAACAACGTCTTATACCATCGCATTTTTTATGAGCCATCATATGAATCATGAGCCAGCTAACCGCCCATCCATCTTACTACACCTTGAATACGAAAATAGCATGTACGCAAAATTTGTTAGCACACATTAGAAGTGGATACCTGAATGTGGCCATTGTCAGGGGAACAGTGGTTTAATTAAACCAGATTTTTAAAAGAAATATGACGTGGATTTTTAAGAATTTTTTTCAAGGGCCTTTTTCAAGGAAGTGGATACCTGAATGTGGCCATTGCCAGGGGAACAGTGGTTTAATTAAACCAGATTTTTAAAAGAAATATGTCGTGGATTTTTAAGAATTTTTTTCAAGGACTAAATGAGGCGTTGATTTTTTAAAAAAATATTTTTGAAGAAGTAAATGAGGCGTGGATTTTTTAAAAAAATATTTTTGAAGAAGTAAATGAGGCGTGGATTTTTTAAAAAAATATTTTTGAAGAAGTAAATGAGGCGTGGGTTTTTTAAAAAGATATTTTTGAAGAAGTAAATGATTTACAAGCCGTGGATTTTTTAAGGATCATTACAAGGCGTGGATTTTTTAAGGATCATTACCATGCGTGGATTTTTTAAGGATCATTACAAGGCGTGGATTTTTTAAGGATCATTACAAGGCGTGGATTTTTTAAGGATCATTACAAGGCGTTGATTTTTTAAGGATCATTACAAGGCGTTGATTTTTTAGGGATCATTAAAAGGCGTTGATTTTTTAAGGATTACAAGGCGTTGTTTGTTTAAGGATCATTAAAAGACGTTGATTTTTTTAGAAGATTTTTAAGGAACATTACAAGGCGAGGATTTTTTTAAAGAATATTTTTTTAAAGGATCATTACAAGGCGTGAGTTTTTTAGAATATTTTTTCGAGGATTATTACATGGCGTGGGGTTTTTAGAATGAAATTTAAAAACAATATTTTTTTTCAAGGACCAATGCTTGATTTTTTTTTTAGAATATTTTTAAGGACTAAAGAAGGCGTGTTTTTTTTCAAGACAACAGTTTAGCTGTTTTCTAAGATTTTTTTAAGAATTCATGAGGTGTAGAGTTTTTTAAGAATATTGTTTAAAAAATATTTTTTTAGCAGTATATGGGGCGTGCAAGGTTTAAATAAATATTTTTATAAGGACCATTTTTAAAGAATATTTTTTCAAGGGCTATTACAAGGATTATATTTTTTAAAGATTTTTTTTTTTAAATTAACCTAAGGCTTATATTTTTTAAAGTTTTTTTAAGATCAACACAATGCTTATATAATAAGGTCCGGATTTAAAAATATATATTTTTATATGATTTTAAAAAATCAAGGACTATAAAAAATCGTCGATTTTTTCAAGGCTACAACACGCCTATAATTGTTAATACAATATTTTTTCAAGGAATATAACAAGGCATAGTTTTACTAAATAATTTTTATGGCCATGAACAAGGCGTAGAGTTTTTCAAGAGCTATAACAAGGCCTAAATTTTTTAAAGAATTTTTCGAGGTCTACAACAGGCCTAGATTTTTCAAAAAATATTTTTTAAGGATTACAATAAGCCTACAATTTGAAGAAATTTTTCAAGGACAGTAACAAGCGCAGTTTTTTTTCTGAATTATATTTTCAATTACTATGAAAATTAAAATTCAACATTTTTTATTTATATTTTTGAAGACCTCTCCCCACCGTTCCTTCATCACTGTATCTCCGATTGATTACCTCAGTTGTTTTGTGTTGATGGCCTCATCTTTCCATATTCGGTTGGTTAGAGTAAACAACATTGAAGCCACCAAAAGCGGCAGCCACGCATTTTAATCAAGTTAACGGTACCAAAAGCGACGAATAAGAAAGTTTAGATAGAAAAGAAAAAACAACGAAAAAAACGAGACAACAAATATAATTCTCGGTAACAAGTCTAAGCCACAATGACACCAAAGTTAAGAAGCAGGAGAATATGAAGAAGTAAAGCCACCATTACGATAATGGGTGGCGGGGTGTAGTAACAATCGCTACATGCTTGAGCTGTAGTAAATACAGCTAAAGATTAAAGTGGGTTAAGTGCACATCATCACATTGTCAGCAGTGTTGAGCAGCAGCAGCTACAATAATAATAAAATGCTTAAACTTGACTTCACACAGATTATGACCAAAAGAAAAACAAAAAACAGAAAAAAACAAGTGATGGTTAAGCAAGATTCCAAAAACGATGAGCCAACAACGGCTGGAGAACCGGCAAGCAGGTGAAGAAGAAATGAATGAAAGAAAGATAATTTCTTCGAAACACCCGCAGG